TCTTTCTCAAATCTTTATTTTATGGTGAAAATTGGTCCGTCCAACAATGAATTGACAGGAAATTCCTTTCAAGATGGCGGGTAAGCGCAGTACACTTTCGGCGAGCTAGTTTGCAAACAATCTTGGCCCCTTTAGCGTTCTGTTGTCGGACTGTCAATATGATTACAACATACAATTTGAATAAATCTCTCAATTTAGGGTTGACAACATCCTTTCTCGGATTGGTCAAACAAATTGGATAAATTCCTGATTTTTATCGTTCTCTCGGGATGAGAAATTGGAGTAACCTCATGATGTCAATATAGAGAAAGAGGTTTGTGTGTGCTTGAGGTCGTGTCACACATTTTGATTATGTTTGTAGTAACAAGCAACAAACAAATTGAATTATCTAAACAATGAAATGAAAGTAGGATTGAATTGCTAGTTTTGTTTACGATGCACTCAAGATCATTAGCCATAGGTGTAGGACTATGCATATGCTAGAATCTAGGGACAGAGGTTGTGTCCTTTCATTCTTCAATTACTAGGACTTGTCTTAGTAGACAATAGAATTCCACTTTGGGCTCTTAGAGTCTCTATGACCTTTCCTCGAATACCTTGCCTACAAACCCTTTCCAACCTAGTCTTCTCGGATCATTAGGCTAGAAAATGTCAAGGATAGAAGCTTCAAGCTTAGCACAACCCTAGGAGGTGGCCTAGCTCCTAGGATGCATACAAAACAATCCACAACAACAAGATTCCCAAGCATAGCAACATTCAACACATAATCTAAGAATTAAGTCACATTTGCATCATGAACCAAAACATCACCATAGCTAATCTAGCCAATCAAAGCCATAAGAATTGAAATTGCAATCATGAATCTAAGTAAACAATTGAGAAACTAAAGTAAAGAATGTACCAAAGTATATTACAATTGATGATCTCTTGAATCGGAAGAGTGTCAATCTCCTTCTTCAATTGATCTTCACTAGAGAGAAGGTAGAGCTAGGAAATGAAATGTGTTTCTCACTCTAAAATCTGAAATTATGATCTAAAACTATCAAAACCTCCCTCTTCTAATCTATCCTAACCACTTAAATAGCTTCCCTCTCTTTTCCCCCATCAATTTCCGCATAAGTGATGTTCCAACGCGTGCTTCAACGCACCGGCCAATGTGGCCGGTCACTTATTCGCACCACGCGATCGTCCAACGCACGTTGGACCGTGCGTTAATGTTTCTGCTTTCTCCCAACGCACGTCCAATAAGTGTTGGCTCTTCTTGGCTTGGCTTCGGCTTCTTTCCTTGTCCTGCTTTGCTCTGGATTGTGATAACCGTGCCTCCTTTTAGCTCAAATCCTCCTAGTATTCACAAAAACACAAAGTGTGGTGATAATCTAAAGCACAATGCACAGCATAGCTTAAATGACTCAAAATTGTAAAGGATCATAATTGAGCTCAAACTACACCCCTAATAGACCTTAAAACTAAGTGTCTTTGTCACTTATCAAAACTTTCCACACTTTAACTTTTGCTTGTCCTCAAACAAGCTCACAATAAAAACCAATGATCATAAAAAGTGCCAAAGATAATTCTCAAGATAGCTCAATGTTAACTTAGTTCACCTAGTGGTCCATCAAGATGAGTGTGTTTAGAAACCGGAGAGGGGGAAATCTTTCATATCATAAAACAAGTGTGATAGAAATGTGTTTTACTAATGAAACTCAAGGAATATCCAAAAGAAACAAAAACCCCTAAAAGGATAAAATGAATAGCAAAGCGAATACACTCTCTACACATAGTCAAGCATGCAACTGAATTTCGATTCACCTCTCATTTTGCAAAGGCCTTCAAGCCGAGCCCCTAGTGGGAACGATGTGCACATCCCAACCGACTTCCAACCTTATAACGCCAAGGTCCTTTACTTTAAAATAAATGAAGGTTTGGTATGGACCACTCCTCGCCAATTGGCTTAGACGGGCACTCTTTTCTTCTCATCCTCCCGAAGTCGTTATCGAGCGACCCGACTTCACATGGAGCTCCATGCTTTTTCGAAGATCGATACTGTGGGTGCCCGGTTTCTGGCGAGATGGCTCACCTCCACTCTCTCTTCTCATCTCCTAGGACATCTTCTTTGGGACAACCGACTTCACGTAGTTCTCAAAAAGATAAAGTTGTATACACATCACAACTTGAGTTTGAACCCTTGACTACTTCCATAATATATATATATATATATATATGGAAAGTTGGTTCATATGCGGTTATTGCTTCTGATGCGATCAGCAGCTTTACACCACTATGTATGCACAAATGCACTACCACGTGTTCATAAATGCACTAGGATGTAGTGCATTTTACAAACTGAGTGGTGTTGCTAAATGCACCACACTCTGGTGCATTTCTAAACATGTGATAGTGAATTTGTACATACGTAATGGTGCAAAGCCGCACAACCACACAGGAAGTAGTAACACCACCAGTTCTTGTGTGTGTGTGTGTGTGTGTGTTCCAGTCTTAGATTTATAAAAATTCGACGAATCTTATCAATTTAAAAAAAAATTACGGTAACATTTTCATAATTATCATCAACTCTACTATGCAAACTTGAACACTTAAATATGTAATCTTTAACAATTAAATATGCAAACTATGTGAATTTTATAAAATCAACGAAAATGCTTAATTTTAAATCTAAATCATAAATGCTAGGCATTTTAGTATTAAAAAATGAACCACTAAACCAAAAATCCAGTCATAAAATTTAAAATCAAAATCCTAAGTGCAACGCACTTTCAAATTTTGAAAGTACAATATTTAAATACTAAATATGCAAAATGTTAATACTAAATGTGCAAACCTGGAAAAGTCAGAGAATTGCAAATTTTAGTATTCAAGTTTGTATAATAAAGTTGATGATAATTACAAAAATACCATCACATTTTTATTTTTAAAAATTGATCTGATCATCTATCCGATTTTTCCAAATGTAATAGTAAGATTGGTTCTTATTTCTCTCCTAAGGACTTGTTATATATATATATATATATATATATATATATATATATATATATATATATATAGGAAAAAGTTCAAATGCGGCGAGGCCCTCCCGTGCGGAAGTACGGCGGTTTTCAGAATACACCAACAGTGTTAACGAAAGGCACCAACAGTATAAGGGAAACACACCACAATGAAATGCAAAAAATACACAATAGACCTAAAAAAAAAATACATCATATACCTCCCTACCACTAATGGTGTATTTTCGAATACTGTGTGGCGCTTTTAGTCATACCTAATGGTGTGTTGTTGGTGATGCGTACCTAATTTGTGTGTGTTTTGGTGGTGCATTTCCTGACATTGATGGTGTATATCTTACTTAATTATTGGGGTATCGCACGACTGCACGGGAAGGGGTCGCCACACCTAAACTCGCATATATATATATATATATATATATATATATATATATATATATATATATATATATATATATATATATATATATATATATAAGAATAATAATAACAATAATAATGAAGGGAATCACGAGTGAAGAAGAGGGAAGGGGCATAAGTTAGGAAGAGTGGTCCAGAGGGCAGCAGATTATTTCAAGAAACTGGGATGGAGGAAGGGGCTGACCACCTCTGTCAAAATTTGCTGTACTGTGTTTGATAGCATCCCCCGCAAGCTTAGAAAATGAAGTTACACTCTGAACGAGGGTCCCCTCTTTTTTCCATCTTCCCACATTTATTGCCTTTTACGTTCATTTACTGTCTTCCCCCCTCCCGAATACTCACAATTTTATATGCTTCAATTCATTTTTTACACTCCGATCCCTTTTAAGGATTAAGGTTTTGTCTATCCCATCTTCAATTTTAATTTTTTTTAATGGTTCATCCAAATCTCAACTGGTTAATAGACAAACCTTGGTGTCATTCACTTGATTTGATTTTACCTCAAATTTGGAAATTTCGTGATGCATTTGGTTTTGGGTTGGAGAAAGTTTAGGCTTTAATTGACTGATCTATGGTATATATGATTGATTATGCCATGATCATTCTCTCTTTCATTCTACTTTTATTAATCCATCTTTACAAGTTGTGTTGTTATTGACTAGTCCCGTATAAACCGTAACTAGTTAATTGGGATGAGCTAGTATATATGATACTTAAGAATTTAACCTTTAATAATCGAGACACAGTTCAAATTGGTTGACAAATCCAAAATAAAGTAAAGAGTTCTCCATTGCTGATTTTTATGCTATGGGCACCGAATCATAACTTCATAATTATTTTAGGGACTAGTGTACTCACATTTTGAAATATCTATAGACTGTTTATATACATTTTGAGATTTCTCTCATTGCAGAGTATAGACAAGTGGACCATAAGAATCATAGTGTAATGATGATGAATTTTAATCACATTTTCATTAAATTTGTAAGGTGATATGTGAATCGAACGGTCCTTAGCTTACCTTGAGAGTCTATTTTCTTGTCATATTTTATGGAGTGGTGTGAACACCCTCCGGATTTTATTTGTAATCTTCTCTATTTGGATTTGTTTTAATGTTATCCTTTGTTTTGAGTTCACAAAAAAAAAAAAAAAAAAGAAAAAAATTATAGTGTAATCTTTTAGAATTGCATCGTTAGGGAGGCACATGGGATGTAATGTGGGAGGGTACATTGAGAAAGAGATTTTTGTATTGGTTAGGTTTGGGTAGAGGAAAGGAATGGAGTGGGGGTGGGGGTGGTCGTGGTGATATGTTGAAAGGCAATTAATCAGTTTTTTTTTTTTTTTTTTTTCACTGTCAGATACAGAAATTAATTCTCTTAATGAATTATAAGTGAATGAGATAGCTGACTTGAAAATTTAAGATTACTCCATATTTAAAGCTAAAGATGAAATCCTAATTAAGGATGAATACGTCTCTTCCACACAATCACACTCCGAGGTTCCAATTAAGCAGTTTGTGGTTGTAGGGTCGTGGCATGGTGTTTGTTGCTCTGCTTTTATGACTTTGTTTGTCCTTTTCTTTACGCCCTCTTTCTTTCTCCATCCTTGTATTTATTCTCATCTCTATCCCCTCTTCTTTCCATTCATTCTCATTTCTCCATTCTCATCAACCACAAATCTATTCTCTCTCCCTCTCCCTCTCCCTCTCCCTCACTCTTCATTTCACAGTCTCATATCATCATATAATGATGGCTGGAGAAGATGAAAGGAAAGCCTGCTCTGATTGAGGGGAATGTTGTCTGGCTCGAGGACACTAACTAGATCCATTATTTCTGTGATTTTTCTCTCTCACTTCGATCTCCTCCCCGCACATAAATCATCATGGATCTAACGTTGGTGTCGTCGGACCAGGCTTCATTCCCCCCAATTATGGCTTCCTTTCCACCCTTTGACTCCATCTGCTAAAAACCCAGCCATGGCTACTAGATCGATCTCCACAATCTTTTATATATATATATGTTATCAGATCGATCAAGAAAAGTCAAGTTTTGATTTTGTTTCGTTTATGGTACGTGTTTTTTATATTTGTTTGGTTTTTGTGGGCAGAAGCAGGTAAAATGGCGGGGTGGACAAGAGCAGATTGGTGTAATGATGAAGATCTTTGACTTTTATACTTTACCCGTCACTGAAATACAGGAAAGGGTAAGAGTTTCATCATTACTCTCGTGGAGTAGTTGTATATAAATATATATATATATATATATTTGTTTTGTTGAAACAAAGATTCTATCATGTTTCTTGCTTTTCTGTCAGTCCCATTGTTTCTCTCTTCCCATCCTAAAACATTATTATGTTCTTATGATTTTTTTTTGTCATGATGGCTTTAAGAATCTGTTGTGTCTTTTTCATCACCTCCATCTGTTCACTTTACATCCTTGTAATTACTCCATTTCTTGCTAGCTAGGGTTTCGCTTTCTCTGCAACATATTTATACATCCTTGTATGTCATGATAATGTCCCCAGGATTATATTCTTTGCTTCTGCAACACATTTATACTGTACATTCGAGTGACAACTCAATATTCAAATGATTTTGTTGTCTTAGATCTAGCCTAGCTTTCTTGCTCTACAGAAAGATCATTTTTTGTCTTCTTACCCACCAAAGATCTGCAATTTTTCTTTTTTCTTTCAGAAAATGGATGGAAGATGGTTTTAGCAGCAAAAACATAAACATTGTTTACTTCTGTGTTGGCTATGATAATGGGCTTTTTTTTGTGTGTACCCAGGATTTTCACTGTCGAACACAGTAACTAATTAATCCTCTTACTGTATTGTGGGCACCTCTAATAATGGGTTGTGGGATAACAGGCTTGGAGATTTAAAATTGCTCCATACCTAAAGTCAAAGATCGAACCATTTACGTATGGTTAAGGATGAAGGGGCTTTCTTGATTTTTGTTTTGTTAGATTTGTGTGTAGAGGGGAATGAATGGCATCATATCATTTCAAGCTTTTGTAAAGCAAGCCTGTGATTTTGCATTGCACCGAAGAAAGGTCAGAGAATACTCTTTGAAAGGCCTAAAAAAATGCCAAGACTTGTGTCTTAGAAGCAACATACATAAATTCATGGACTTTGCACTGATAATGGTCACACTTAAACCCTTTTCTCTAATGTCCCAGAAGGGTCTATCTTTCGCAACACTGTTTAATTCAACTTTTCCATAGAATGATGAGATTCAAATCTAAATTTAAACCAAAGTTCTTCATTGGCTGCATTGCAGTAGGGAGACAGACAGGAAAGGTTATGATTTGTAAATGATGTGAGAAGGCAAATGACGACGTTAGATGGTACTTGCGCGTTGGTAAAAACTTCAACTTTCATGGATTTATGCATGAGCGAATAGGATTTCACTTGGGAAATTGAAACTGTACTGTTCTGTATACTACTGCTCAACCCTACTAAATTTCTACCATGTCTTTTTTACTTAGGTATTTGATTGGATGGTTTGACTACTTTAACATTTGACCTTTGATTAATTTAGTATGTTTCAAAAAGTGTATAAGATGTATCCTGGCATGGGTAATTAGAAGTAACCTACTTTTTGCTTCAATGTAACGCTACCGTACGGTACAAGGTTTCACAGTTGGGTTAAATTTTTGTAATCCGATAATATATGTCCGGACAAGATAAAGTTCAACCATTGTTACAACTTACAAGTGTGGTATACTTAAAATATTCTTGTAATTTTTTTTTTTTTTGCTGGAGACTAGTCTTAAGATCAATTTAGATTAAATGAGTTTAGCTTAAAGTTGACTCTTACTTAGAGAAAAGCTATATAACAGACCTTTTTTATCTTTGTCTTATTTGATAATATAGTTAACTTATCGGTTAGTTTTGATTTATTTGATCACTATTAGTTGTTTGATTTGGGGTTAATATAAATGTTTGACTAATTAGCTTTTTGTAACAGCTTATTGCTCTAAAACGTTAAAATTCAAAAAGTTGATTTTAGCCGCTTTTTCGATCTATTTTTTGAGAAAGTTATTTTATATCTAATCAGTTATAACCGACAGTTAATTTACCAAACATCTATCTTTTTACAATCAGTTAATACTATCAACTAGTCAAACTTATTAACCCAATCAGTTAACAACTATTTATCAAACACCCTTGTATTTGCATTGACCATCTTGTGATTTTAATTATACTAGTATTTGTCCCGTGCCATGCACAAGAAATATGTTATAAAAATATACCCTATATGAGGTTTATTCATATATAAAATTTTTGTTATTTAATAATTATTATGTGTGAATTCCTATGATAAAATTATGAACATAAATATATTTACAATTAAAATGATATTTAAGGTGGGTAAACTATATTAAAAATTTAGTACATAGTATTTAATATTACAAATTTTTAAGAACTTAGTAAACTACAATAGTAATTGAATTACAATTTTAGAGTCACCACGGATCAAAATTTGTAGACCTTTGAGATTTCTAACTCTAGATGTAGCAACATACAATTGACCTTTAAAGACCAAAATCACAATTTTAGTTCGAACATTGATTTTTTCTTCCAAATACTATCGAATTAAGTGTGTAATCACTAAAAGGTGAGAACTAATAATTCGAGAATATAATCTTAATGTTACTAAGCCTACTTCCCGTCAATTAAGTTGGAGAGTGTTGTTGGATAGTATCCGATGAATCCACGAATAACGCATCTTTGTCTCCGTAGTCCTCAATATGCACATCAACCATCTTAAATATTAGGCCGCCTAGCTATGCCATATATTAATTTCAAACTTATGAACTTTTGGGTTGCATGTAATAAAAAGTATATTTTAAATATACTAAGGGTACATTATATATGTATGTAAGGTACTTTCAAAATAAAAATAATGTATTTTTAATATATTAAAAATGTATTTGATATTCATGATCCGTACAATTATGTGGACCATCGTTCACACAATAATTTGCCAGTAGAAATAAAAATATAAATAAATAAATAAATAAATAAATAAATAAATATATATATATATATATATATATATATATATATATATATATATATATATATATATATATATATATATATTAGAAACTGTCATTGGAAATTATTATCATTATTATTATTGCAATTATTATTATTATTGTTATTGTTATTATAATTAACAATATTATTATGGTCTTGTGAAGATTAAATGTTGATTATCATCATTTAATTTTCACAAGACCATATGGCTTTATTATATATAGGATAGGATGTTTGTTGACATTGTAATTTTTACATTGATAGCCATCCTTTTTTATCAAAATATATATTTATAAAAATATATAATATTATGGTCCGTAAAATAGTTAGCCTATCAGTCAGTTTTGGCTTATTTAACCACTATTAGCTGTTTAACTTGGTTAAACAATCAATATGAATGTTTGATTAATTAGTTCTTTGTAACAACTTATTATTATGTTCCAAAGTACTAAAATTCAAAAACTTGTTCAAAGTAGTTATTTCGATCAGTTTTTTAAGAAAGTCATTTTTCATGGAATCAACTATCAGCTAACAACTAATTTAAAACAATTTTCTATAATCAGCAACTAGTCAATCCCGTTAATACAATCAACTAACGGTTATCAACTATGAGATAACATTTATTTACCAAACACCCATCATATGTAATTGGCGTTGTACGTGTATAAAGTTCTATTATATACGGAGTAGTTTGTTATAACTTATAAGAAAGCAGCAGTAAAATTTTATCGAATATAAGATTTTTTTTCAATATTCATTTTCATATCTGGTCTTTTAGGGAATCGAGCTCATTAATTTTTCCCGTCTTTTTAATTAGTCAGTGAAGTTAAATAATACAGTAGATATTGTCTCTCCGATGATAACTTTAAAAATGGAGATATTTAGTTAACAATTTTTTTTACCGTTTGGCTAATAGTCGTTCGGCGTCTAAATGGTAGTCCATGTTCCATACATCAATGTAACTTTTTGCTTTTCTTAATCATATTTTTATTATGTAACACAAAATGCATAATTAACTTAAGATAAAGTTGATTAATTCATAATTATTCAATAAATATATCAAGTAATTTAGATAACATTACATCTCTGAATAAAATATTTGATAAAAAAAATTAATAATGTATTTTCTTTAATTAAATTCATAGAAACAAGTTTTTATATGATTCCTTTTTTTTTTTCTCCTAATTCAGCCCCTCACTATATATATATATATATATATATATATATATATTTTTTTTTTCTCCTAATTCAGCCCCTCACTATATATATATATATATATATATATATATATATATATATATATATATATATATATATATATATATATATATATATATATATATATATATTGAAAGGATCAGATGCATTTGTTGCTTCACGTGCGGATGTGCGGTGGATAAATATGCGTGAGATTTGTACACAATGTGCGTGAGTGTTGTGCTTAATGTGCCTGAGATTTGTACTTAATGTGCGTGAATGTGTAAAATGCAGCAGAAAATATTAATGTCAACTTCTTCCCCATCCCCAGTAGCCATTTGCCCCCTCCCTGGTGATGATGATGCGGAGGCGGGCTATGGGGGTTAAGAAATATGGAAATAATACAACAGAAATCCACATTTAGCTACTGTGCAAATTTTATTGTGCATGCGTCATTTATATAAACATTCAACTGCACTGAAGGTAGCTGATAGTCCAGAATCCATGGCCAAATTGAAGGAAGAAGTAACAAGAAGCTTGGACGTTAATGTGCCTGAGTTTCTGTTCTGCTTCCTTCTGAGCTCGTAATTCTGAAATACTCACGCACATTAAGCACAAATCTCACGCACATTAAACACAATACTCAGGCACATTAAGTACAAAACTCACGCATATTAACATGACGCACATTAAGTACAAATCTCAGGCACATTGAGTACAAATCTCACACACATTAAGTATAAACCTCACGCACATTAATCCACCGCACATCCGCACGGGAAGCAACAAATGCACCTGATCCCTTCCCTATATATATATATATATATATATATATATATATATATATATATATATATATATATATATATATATATATATATAGGATCATATGAGAACACTTGCTTAGGTGAGAATGTGAGAATAAATCGTGTGTATCCATATAATATTTTTTAATGGTCTAGATTAGATTAAGTGTGTGCGAATGCGAATTAAATGTGTGCAAACGCAATTAAGTGTGTTTGCACACATTTAATTCGTGTTCGCACACACTTAATCTAATCTAAACCATAAAAAATATTAGATGGATGCACATGATTTGTTTTCACGTTCTCACCTAAACAAGTGTTCTCATTAGAAATATATATATATATATATATATATATATATATATATATATATATATATATATATATATATATATATAATTGCACTCAGCCACTCAGGTGCGAATGAAGCACCCAGGAGGGAATATACGAACGAATCAGCGCGCGACACGTGTCCAGATCTAACGGATTAAAAAAAACGCGGTGGTATTTTTGTAAATAATTGAACATCGAAGTGCAAGTAAAATGTATTACAAGTGCATGTAAAATGTGTTAGACTATGGTTTATTATTATTATTAATATTGTTACCTTTTGATGTATTCTAGTTTAGTCCTAGTCAATTGGCTATTAGATAGTTCTCTCTCCTGAGAGTATTAATTGTAATCCGATTCAGTTATTCTAATGATCATCAGTTTCCTTGTTCATCTGGTATCAGTTAGCCGGGCAAAATTCTCTCTAATTTTCCCCTCCTCTTCCCGTCGACCATGTCGAGCAATTCCGAGCGTACCGTCACCACCATCTCCTCCCCAAACAATTCCAACTCCCTGACGAGTGCGCACCACTTTGTGTCACTCAAGCTTACACACAGAAACTACTTATATTGGCGTACGCAGGAGATCCCGTTTCTTCAGGGTCAAGGCTTGTTAGGATTTGTCGATGGCACGCGGTCACAGCCATCGCCATTCTTGGAGATTCCCGCCGGCGACACGTCAAGTGATGTCGTCTCCACCACGGAGAATCCGACTTATGCTATATGGGTGCAACAGGACGCATCCATTCTCTCCCTGTTGATCTCCTCCCTATCTGAGGAGGTGATGTATCTCGCGCTCGAGCAAACCACCGCACGGGGTGTCTGGACAGCCGCAGAGACAGCTTTGGGTTCATCCACACAGGTTCGCTGCCTTAATCTGCTCGGGCAGATTCAATCACTGCGACAAGGCGATAGCACGACCTCCGAATACTTAGGAAGGACACCACACCTTGTTCAGGACCTTGCGTTAGCCGGGATGACTCTCACGCCATCGGAGCAGAACCTATATGTTTTTCGGGGACTACGGCCTGAGTTCCGGGCTATGGCCTCCGCATTGGCGATCAACGGCACTCCGGTGTCGATTCCACAGCTGGCTGATTATCTTCAAGCACAGCAGTTCATCCACGAGGATGACTTCCCGGCCCATTCACCGGCAGCATCGGCCGGGAATCCATCAGCACTGTACGCAGGCCGCGGTCGTCGTCAGCAAGGAGATGGCGGCCGGCAGTCGCGTGGTGGCGGCGGACGTGGCAACCAGCGCGGCGGCAGAGGCGGTCGTGGCCGGA